ATAGAAGATGACATCCATGCCATCATTCTTGTACTGTCTTCTCTTTTTTCATTTATTTATTTATTTTATTATTGCGGTAAAATTTTACCTGACAGAACATTTGCCAATTCAGCAGCCACTCATTTCTTAGCTGACTTAAAATGCAATTTCATAAAATGGTATGTAGCAAATGGCCTGGGTTAGCCTTTCACATAGAAACATACTATAGTGATTGATAATGACGACCAAGAGGGGCATGTTGGCAATCAATCTGGACTGAAGCGGAGAAAGGACACCAGATGGTAGCTCAGCCCGCAAGAGTGAGGAGTGAAGGACAAGACGGGTAAAGGGTGACTATAGTTTATAAGCACCTCTCGCCAAGCACTGTGGAAACCTCATGCTTCCTGCCTAACCCTCAGTAGTCTTCACTGTATGTGGGACCTTCAAAATCTTTGTGGAAAAATCCCATTATCTTTTTCATTCCATTTTAGATTTTCCCATGTAGATTAGGATTTATATTCGCATTTGATAAAAATTTCCTCCCTGGGGGACAGACAACCGAAAAGTGGGTGAAGGGAGACATCGGACAGGGCAAGATATGACAAAATACCAATTTGTGAACTATCAAGGGCTCATGAGGGAAGGGGGAGCGGGGAGGGAGGGGAAAAATGAGGACCTGATGTCAGGGGTTTAAGTGGAGAGAAAATGTTTTGAGAATGATGTGCAAATGCGCTTTACACAATTGATGTGTGTATGGATTGCGATAACAGTTGTATGAGCCCCTAATAAAATGTTTAAATAAAAAGAAGTAAAAAAAGCTGCACACCAGCTTTATATTATTTTATATATGAGGTGCCACTTATTTAAATTGTCATATAAAGAAATGGATGATCAAGGAAACAAATATTCCTTATGAAGGAAAGAAAATATGCTCAAAGTGATATGGGATGGTTTTCAATATAGATACATTAGTGTGATATAACATTATAATGAATACTACTGTTGGAAACATTGGATTTTTCATTTCAAAAAATGTCTAATTATCTTGAAACACATACATACTGGGTCAACTGGGGGCCGTTTCAGGAAGTACATTCTACATTTATTCTTGTTTAAGGAATTAAAGATTTCCACATTTAAACATATTCAAGTGCTTATTCTTTTTGTAATCATCAGTTTGTATTTTAGAAAAAAATAAATAAAAATGCTTGAAAGAAAAAAAAAATTTCCATGGGAGGGGGCAAAAAAACCCAACAAAAATAAACTGTGACTCAACTCTTATTTTCTAGTGAGTCATGCCAAGATCTGCCTGTACCTTTTTTGGAAAAATAAGTTCCACAATCCTGAGGCGAATGGAACATGCGATGCTTGCAAAGCCCCTGTGAGGAATCTCTGTTCAAAAACTGTAGCAGCTTTCTGCTTACTGGTATTTGTGGTCGTTACATAATCTGTTGTCCATTTGAGACTTAAGAATGAAGGGGTGGAGTTTAGCCTGTTCATTAGGTCACAGCTTGATGACCTCATTTGGAGGTGCTAAGGAGATAAATAGCTCACCAGAGGCGGGACACACGCTCACAACCTGCCAGACATTCCGGTGGACAAGACACATGGAGCTACGCTAGAGCCCCGAGCAGAGGAGCCATGTGGAGACCCCTGCCAGTGTTGAGATGCTTACACTGCCACTGGATCCACAAGACTTTCCACCCACTGGCCTGTGATCTTCCTGCATTCGGCATTATTGCACGGCTGTGTGAGTCTAAAGAGGAATTTATGGACTAGTATTGGATATATGGGCTAATATTGTACTTAAGGACTTGATCTGGAGGGGGCTGGGATGTTTGCTCAATATTCAATTGCTCTTGGATATAAAGCTCTTTCTTATATACATGAGTGTCTCTATGAATTTGTTTCTCTAGTCTACCTAGACTAACACAGATTATTATTGTTCTCATGAACAGAGCGGGGCTAACCAATGCAATCACCCAAAGGCAGCAGTCACCTGGAGACTGGGCCTCACCAGACAATGTTTGTCTCTTATGGTGCCCGGGCATCTCCGGGTCCTTTAAGGCAGACCTGTGCACAGAAGTCTCTCAGAAAGAGGGAGGAAACAAGTCTACACAGACCCCGAGTCTTGGGCTCTGTGGAGACCATGAACGAGAGCAGACTCTTCCTGCTGTCTGATAATTAACATTGACCACATCAAAATCTAAAACTGTGTTGGCCTAGAGAAATGAGTCGTCAAGTATGCAAAACATGTTGAAGACTTCATTCCACCAGAAAAGGGTGGTATCATACTGGCACACAGTAGGTGCTCAATAAATATTTGTTAACTGAAAGCATGAATGAACAAATTGAACCAGGGGTATTTTATCACCCACACTTGCTAGAGGAGGGAATGCCACCTATAAAAGATAAAGTGGCATCAACTACCCATCCATAATCTCCTGAGCCCACCGAGCACCCAAGTGCCTCAAGGACAGACTCTCTTCAAAAGTCATGACTTAACTCGACTCTATCACATTTCCTTGGACCTAGTTCTCCATGTCCCATCGTCTTCATTTACACATCAACTGTCCTACAGCCACACAGAGTTGAAGACTGGGAGCCCCTCCCTCGTTCTAGGGGCAAGGGAATATGGCTGCAGCAAAGCTCCTGCTCCAGATGCTTCATTGCCGCCCTCAGCCATGGACAAGGCAGGGGCAGGGAGATCACCTAGAGAGGATAAAGCAGTGGCCACAAGTCACTGGGTTACTTCTTTAAAGAAATATCGCAGCTTCATTCGAACTCAATCATCCATGAGCTACACAGCATAATTTATAAGCAAATAGTATCTTATGTAAGATAAACCACTATTTTCTGAAAATTACTTATATAACAGTTGATTGAGTGGTATGCAGAACCTTTGCAAATGAGCAGACAGATAAGTTATTTTGTTAGAAATGTAGAAGGCGACCCAATATAATACAAGTATGTATTTGTGTGCATATGGACCAGTACATACACACAGACTAAGCTTATGAAAACACCCAAACCACCCACCCCACCCCACTGCCATGGAGTCAGTTCTGACTCTCAGTACAGGGTTTCCAGAGCTATCAACCCCGATGGGACCAAAACATCTCATCTTTCACTCATGGAGCGGCTGGGGGCTTTGAACTATAGACCTCATGGCTCATTGTCCAATGTACACCCAGCAGCACCACCAGGGGGATACAGAGACAGGGATACAGGGGGATACAGAGACCAGGGCTCCTAGCCTGAATACAAGCCACATGCCACCAACTGACCGTGGCAGCTTTCACAGGAGTAAGCTGTTTACCTTTCCAGAGGTGAAGGTTCTCACATGGTATTTAAAAAGCATTAGTTTAGACATTTTCAGGTTTTAAAGAAGGGGGGGAAAGCCCTAAACACCTATTAAGAGACATCTCTAAACCCATTATTTTAAAAAACGGATCAACGTAAAAGCTTCGAACGCCATGACCTTAATTTATAAATTATGTTTATTTAATTCTTAGGGAAATATAATAAAGGTTCGTCCCAAGGCTGAGGGCTGTCTTGCATAGATACTATCGGGCTTGGAAACTCTGAGTCTGGGTGAGCAAGATGTGCCTCATGCTGACTGCGGCATCAACACATGCGCTGGAGCTGAGGGCTCAGGGAACCTCTTTACAAGGGCTGGCTGATTTTTAACCTTGCCAATCTACTGAGTCCATAAACCCCTTTAGTCTATGCCCGTACACAACATAATGACACCAAGAAAGTTCTTAAGGCTGAATTTTTCTAGACTGCTGCATATGTAAATCTGGCATTTCTACAACTGGGCAGGTGCAGAACCGAGCTCTTTATTTATTGTAAGCAGGAAGAGGGACTCCAAAGCCTATATCACCCAGAAGACACAGCCCCACTCCCATCTTGACCCATTCAACAGACACGAGTGGATCCCAAGGCTGAGCCATGATTAGTAAGGAGACTGTTAGAGTTCAGTAGCAATGACGGTGACCTAACCTGCACAGGGCTTCACACAGGACAAGGCCCCGTGCTCGCTGGAGTGTTCCCGTGGGTGGGTTACGATTCCTGTGCTACAGAAGAGGAGAGGGAAGCTGGTGGGGGTTGGGGGGTTGAGCTAGCTGGCCTCACCTCTCCAAGCATCCCGTACATTACCAGGTGGCAGGTGAGCCCCTTCGAAAAGGCAACATCAACCTCACCAAGCTCATGACCACCTCTGGACCGACACAAACCTTCTTGGTGGCACGGTGGGTAAAGCGCTGGGCAGCTAACCGAAATGTTGAGCCATTCCAGGGGAGCCAGATGTGGTTGTCCACGTCCATCCAGATGACCAGCCTTGGAAACCCTAGGTGGGCAGCTCTACCATCCCTTGGGTCGCTCTGAGTCGACTCAACAGCAGTGAGACTGGTTCAGCAGACTGGGAATTTTCCACTTGGGGTCGGAAACGTGATTTGTTCATTTAAACCAAGCAAATGGATGTGAATCAGGTCATACCTTGACTTCCCACCACACCGCATGGGCCTACCCACAATGCACTGAGAACAGCTCCTCGGTCCTGCTCTGCAGCTGCTGGAGTAATTCCAAAGGCCTTCGGGTTTGACCTCTTTGGCCTCACCCCTATCCAAAGTATACAGGCTATACCATGGGGCTCCACGTTACAGGCATGAGAGCTTAACAGTGGGATGCTCTGGGTACAGAGTCCTCTCTCTGCCCATCTCCCTCCACCCTCTCTCTGGATGTGTGTCATAAAAACAATACGCAAACAAATGAAGTCAATATTTTGCTCCCCAATCCACATCATTCAAGGTGGTAAGCCTGTGTCTGAAGGAAGGTAGATTTAAACACATATGCAGACCAGAACACCTGATGTCAGATGCTGACAGTCCACCTGCATACCTCTGGTAGAGGCCCATGGCCTGGTCATCATGGGATGACCTGCCCCCCCCCCCCACGTCTTCAAGTCTCTCCCCCCACCACCACTTTGCCCTCAGGGCCCCCCACTCGGAAGCTCTAACCTGGGGTCAGGCAAGATGCACTGGTAAAAGGTAGCCATCTTCCTGAATGTGGGGTGCGTGTCCGGCTCTTTCATCCTCCTGGACAATGGCAGCAGGGCGCAGAGCAGACCTCTTCTGACCTCCCAGGGATGGCTTAGTGCCCCCAGGACACCAGCGGGTGCTGATCCAGAGCTCCCTGTCTCTGTATCCCCCAGCAGCTCCAGAGGGCCTACAGCACCCACGGGTCACACACACGTGGGGCTTCTGCCAAGCCTGGCCACTCCTGAGGCCCCGAGAACTCCTGGGCAGGCCGTGCAGGCGCCCAGAAGTGAAAGTGCCTGATAAACACAGGTCACTTCCTTATTTCCCTGCAAGTCCCAAAGGTCGGGGTGAGGTAGGTGGACTCCCCAGGGAGTTGGTCAAGAGCTGTCACCTGCCTCTCTCTGATTGGAGAGGCTGTTTGAATTCACCACGGATGAAAAACAACAAACTTGGGCTTTGTTTTATTACACGTATTACAGCAGTGAGCCAAGCGACCGTACTGGATGGGGTTGCTTGCCCTGGGAACCAGTAAGACAGAGTTCAGAGACAATTCGGATGGGATTCTGAGTCAAACTCCAAGCCCGTTACTCCCTTAACTTGCAGAACTAGCCAAGCACTGCTGGCCCTGACTGGGTGGGTCCCTGCTCTCCCGAAAGCCACCGGCTGTAGTGGGCCATGTTCACCTCTGCCCCTACACGTCTTCTCTCCAACTTTAGCTTCTTTTCGAGTTTTTTTAAAGGCCCACGGCACTCCCTCAGCTCCTAGATATGTTTAGTGAAGCGCTTTCCCGGGACCTTCCTCAGACTCCTTCGAGCCGGACACCTGGTCACCCCACTCACCGGCACAGCGATAGGATTTCCAGTGAGCCCCCCTGGAGGCACACCTTGCAGGTGCTTTGGGCCACGCCCACCCAGGGAGCGATCCCCGGAAACCCTGAGCCGGCCTTTCCAGGAGACAAAGGTGCCTGGCCCGGTTGCCATGGTGAGGAGCTCTCTGATTACGTGCAGCTGCAGTTTCAAAATAATAGACTCCTACAAGCCCCACCTGACTCAAGTTCGTCCAAAGTCGAATGGCTGCTATCCAAGTATAGTCAGCAGTTTCCGGGCAACTCCTGCTGTGTTGACAGAGTGCCCTGACAACAGGGGCGAGTCTGTATTATCATCACCGAGAAGCAAGACAATCAGGCAGCAAGGCTGGTCTGCAGGTGGTCTGAACATTCCCTAGCTGTCTTTCAAAATGCACTGTGTATATATATTTCCGGTCAAGTGTTCTATAAATTAAACATAACAAAATGTTTTTAACATGTGCAGAATGGTGACAAAGGCAGTCAGTTTAGAGAAGAAATCTATGTGTGTGTGTTTATATATATTCTATCTATCTATCTATCTATCTATCTATCTATCTATCTATCTATCTATCTATCTATCTATCTAATCGACCCTGGCTGATATACATGGTTAAGCATTGACTGCTAACAGAAAGGCTGGTGGTTTGCATCTACCCACAAGTACCTCGGAAGAAAGGCCTGGTGATCTCCTTCAGAGAAGACAGCCACTGAAACCTCGGTGGAGCACAGTTCTCCTTGGACACACACGGGGGCGGCCCTGAGGCAGACTCCACTGCAGCTGGTTACGTTTTTTTCAGACCTTGGTTGCAGGAGTCCCGTGATGATGCCAACATCTCCCGCTGCTGACTTAAAGGTGGAAGGGCCAAGTCCACTCAGAGGTATCTCAGAAGAGAAGCCTGGTGATCCACTTCTCACAAAAAGCAGCCCTGGAAAAGCCTGCAGAGAACAGTTCTCTTCCATGGCAGCTGGTGGACTGTGTGTGTGCCGTATGCTTTCACCCCATCTGTGAAGATCCACCACCTCTCCCCCAGCAGGGGAGGTGGTCACAGAACGCTTAAGCCAGAACAGCTCTGGAATACGGGACAACCAAGCTCAAAGGCCAGTGAGTTCTCTAGATCGTGCAATTTATAAGATGCCACAGAAACTCTTTTGTCTAAGGGCTTCGTGATGGGATCTGACCTGCTTAGGCCCCGTGGGCTCCGTTAATTAAGAGGAAAGGGAATGGATGCGTAGGAAGCACTTACCAGGTCCCAGACAGTGGATCGTGTTTGTCACTTAATTCTCACAACAGCCAGTGAGCAAAATGGTATATCTTCCTTTTGCAGGTGAGAAAATAAGCATCGGAGATGTTAAGACACTCCCAAATCACAGAACCACTAAGGAGCACATCTGCACTTCCACTGGGGTCTGTGTCCATGCGAGCTCTTCTCCTGGCAGCTGCATCCTAAGAAACCCAGGCCAAGAGTCGGAGTGCCTGACACAAAGATTACAGCCTAACAGCATGCACCAAAAGCCTTCACAGTCCCCATGCCCGTTGATGCAGTCATTCCACGTCGATGAATTTCTCCTAAGGAGATCATCAAGCACTCCCTACCATGGTACCCCAAGTCCATTGTAAAAGTCAATCGATAGGACAGTCGCTATAGGGTTTCAGGGCGCAGCCACAGAAGGGGATGTCACACAGTCACTAAAACCCATGCTCCAGAAAAAATATTGACCCACCTGGGAACATGGCATGATACACTGTGGTTAGGTGCTGCCCCGTCAATTCCAACTCATGCACAACAGAACAGTGCCTGGTCCTGAGTCATTCACAGCTATTGTTATGTTTCAGCCCGCTGTGTGGGCACTGTGTCCTCCAATCTCCTTGACCATCAGCCTCCTTTCCACTGTCCTGTTCCTTCACCAGGCATGATGTCCTTCTCCAAAGCCTCACTCTCCTCTCTTCTGAGTAGCGTCTAGCTTATTTCCTCTGGCAGTCTATGATATTTCCAACTCTCCCTGCCAACACGACCATTCACATGCCGCGGTCCTTCGTAGGTCTTCCTTATTCCTTGTCCAGATTCCACATGTGTATGAGGCAACTGAAAATCCCATGGTTGGGTCAAGTGCATCTTTTTAAAAAAAATCTTTTTATTGGGGGTTCTTGCAGCTCTTATCACAATCCATACATCCACCCATCGTGTCAAACACATTTGTACGTATGTTGTCATCATCATTTTCAAAACATATTCTTTCTACTTGAGCCCTTGCTATCAGCTCATCCCCCCCTCACCCTCCCTTCCTCATGAACCCTTGATAATTTATCAAATATTTTTTTCATATTTTACTCCAACTGCTGTCTCCCTTCACCCGCTTTGCTGTTGTCTGTCTCCCTGGGAGAGGGTTATATGTCAGTCATTGTGATTGGTCCTCCCTATCTCCCCCTACCTTCCCCTTTTCCTCCTAGTATTGCTACTCTCATTATGGGTCCTGAGGGGTTTATCTGTCCTGGATTCCCTGTGTTGTGAGCTCTTATCTGTACCTGGGTACATCCTCTGGTCTAGCCGGATTTGTAAGGTAAAATTGGAGTCATGATAGTGGGGTGGGGGTGCACTAAAGAACTACAGGAAAGCTGTATGTTTCGTCGGTGCTATACTGAACCCGGGTTAGGTGCATCTTAATCCTCAAAGTTATCTTTGAAAACAAAAGAGCAGTCGACGCAACCATGTTTCCTAAAGGTCGAGATGTTCACTATTAAGGATGGACTTTGTCCTCCCAACAGGGCACTGACCCAAGAAAGGGCCGTTCCTGTGGGCAGCCCTGAGCCTTCCTTGGAGTTCCTTGGCTTGCAGAGGTTTGTCCTGGGGTCTCTCCCGGCTGGGTGTGTGGCTGTGCATTGTTTTTTCAGAAGAAAGCACTCAGGAGTGATTTGGCTTAGGACCCATCCCACCCTGGTGTGACCTGATTCCTTGCACAGAAGAAAACCCCGCATCCCAAACTGGGTTATGTTTACCAATTTTTTACAGGGTTTAGGACTCCCACATATCTTTGGGACAGAGAGAAACACAATTCAGTCTAAATAGTGGCCACCCTCAGGGCTCACTGGTTCATCCCTTCTAGCTACCCCGAGTGCAGAGAAAAGCCATCACAGAGCTTGTTCCTCAAGATGAGACCGTGTGCTGGCTTCCGCTGAGGCTCTCCAGAAATCCACAGCGAGCAATCGCCAGGCTCCCTGAAAGATCCCTGGGCAAGTTGACTCGGCTCCGACACTTCCTGTCCTGCTCTGGAGTCAGTTCTTGCTCATCACTGTCACCAGCTGCCACTCATCACACACACACACACACACACACACACACACACACTACAACCTTCAGACTTCCCAAGGTATAGATAGGCAAGTGCTACGGAGAGTTTTCTACAAAGAAAGATTCATCCTTCTCCACTGCTCACATCAATGCGGTTTCCAACAGGAGGCACTGACTTGGCCCTTCTGTCTCCCAAACTGTGTCTACTGAGCCATCTGGGAGAGAGGGAAAACAGTGTCCCACAGACTCCAGCCTGGCTCTCCCCACCCCACCCGCCCCGGCCTAGCTAAACAGCAGCTGCACAGCTTGTTCTTCACTCCACTCCCAGGGTACCAGGGGGGGTCAAACACTCTGCAAACTAAGCATCTGATGAGCTCGAACCACAGATGCAGGGATGCTGTGCAAACATTTACCCTGTCTACACAGCTGCATCACTGAAGGGCCTCCCTGTCAGGTGCATGCCCGACCCACCATTCCCCTGCACCACACACCACAAGACAGGGGGTGGTGGTGCAGAAGAGAGTGTAGTCCAAGCTGTCACTCCACAGATGCAGACAACGGCGGAGGAAGACTCGGCTGCGTGGCAGGGTTCGTGGTGGTTCTTCTTGTTATGTTGCTGCCAAGACAATCCCAACTCATGCCCACCACACCTGTGCAGAGCAGCCGGTGCTCCACGGGGTATCCAAAGCCTGCCATCCCAGGCACCTCTGCCATCCCAGGGCCACCCATCTTTTGGCTTGTAGCCAGGTGTTTCAATGTGTGCGAGACCCCTTGGGCTCATGGTTCATTCACAGGAGGGATAGGAGTAGACATCTGGCTCGTCCCTGCATTTTTCACACAAGACATGCTCCCAACGCCGCAGCCCAGCCAACGACCTCACACCTCTCAGCCTCGTCATATCAGAGCCCAGCCCGGGGGTCTCAAGGCCACCTGCCAGGCTGGTGGCTGACTCGTTATGAGTTCCATGAGGCAGAGGGAAGCAGGGCAGGTCCCAGCTGAGGGAGCAGGAGAGAAGGGAGCCAGCCGGGGACAGCAAGCTATTATGCTAACACTCCCTCAGCTGTAGGTACTCCGAGGACCTCCTACCTGCTCTTCAGAACTTCAGGCCCTCCTGA